CAACCATGAGACGTTACGTCTTCGCACGATTGGTCCATTACATTGTGAATGGTTCTTTACAATTGTGTTCGCTCATTGGCGATGCGCAACAATTAGTTGGCGCGTGCTTCCCGCCAAATAGATTATAATTAGGGTTGTCACCTATCGTGCTTGACCCGAATTCTTCAACTATGCTCGGAGCACATTCGAATTACGTGATGTAAGATATCTTTGTAATCAAGGCGCCAAAGATTTAGAGGTTAACTAGTCACAGATTTTTTTTAAACCAACCAGTATTCATGTCTACGTTTTTAGAAGGTTGGCACCCCTGACCACAATGCAGTTGCGTCGGCGCTAAGAATGCGGGGCAGGTTCGCCCTGTCGATACACCACGATGTACCGAAGACCTGATGAATTACAATTGCTGTTTACTTTCACGATTACACAACTAATGTGCCATTTAAGTGACGAATGGTTATCGAGATTGAATTATAGCATCGCTACATTTGGAACAATGTATCGTGAAAAGGGAACGAAGGAATCGATTGTTTTGTAACCACAAATAACATAGTCCCATTGACAAGTAGAATATTTACAACGTGACATACCATTGTCAAAACACATATACACAAATATTGTTGACTATGCTTTCTCAAAAAAAATAGTGTGATAATACGTTTTAGTTGTTATGTCTTTTGTTATTATTTGCAATAGTGAAATACTATCTTGGTACGTTCAGTTGGAATAAATGCATCGTGTCCTTGCAAGCGCCAAGTAATCTTAATTGTCAAGGCAGCAATAAAATATTTACTCACTACGGCATCGTAAACTTATTTTTAGTACTTTTTGCGTACTTAACGTCTAAAATAGATTTAATGGATTTAAAAAAATGTTGCATAAAAATGTTCTTTAATTGTTAAAATGAAACTGTACAGGGTTCTACTCGGGTATCTACTGTCTACAGATTTTTTTAAAATAAAATAAGCGGTCAAACGATCAGCGGGAACACCGAAGTGTTCAACGACGCCCATGGACATGTGGAATACCAGAGGACCCGCAGATGCGTTGCCGGCCTTTGAGATGGTGATACGCTCGTTTCTTAAAGGACCCTAAGTCGTAGTGGTTAAAATACCGCCGAGGACAGACCAAATATATTTTGGAATATAGTTTCAAATTAAAGCTATTTACTTTAATGTTTCATAACATATAACGATTTACTCATCAGTTTCCTTAATTTTACGACAAAGGAAGGAAAAGAAGAACAGTAAGCTGAGTTAACACAATAATAGTCCTGTCCCCGTAGTAAGTACATTATCAAAATGTCACCTGTTTTTCTAGAATATTATTTTCATTAAAGTTCGCTAGCGAAGCCAACTTTTTTTGCTTATCATTTATGTAAAAGGTGTTCATGATTATGCATTATATGTCAAACAAAGTCAGTGACGCACATAAACGTTTGTGTGTAAATTTAATTTAATAATTAACATTACATTTCCATCTACTTATTAACATCAATTAATTTATAAGTTAATATAATACAAAGCGATTTAATATAGACCTTATAATTTTATTAACAACTAGCTGTCGCCCGCGACTCTCGAATAAAAAAAAAACTTATAAGCAGCCTGTTTTCTCCCAAAATATGTTCTACACGTGTGCCAAATAACATCAAAATACGTTTAGCCCTTTCAGAGATACCTTCTAGCAAACATCCATGCATTTATCTAAACATTCGAATTTATAACATTAGTAACATTTGATAGTAATCCGTCATCATCAACTTCTTGACCTTGTCGTAGAGTAGTGGCACCAGGTTTCGATCCACCAAATCAATCTATCTGCCGTCATCTCCGTCATCAGCCACTTAATAATGTCACTTTTCACGCAATCCATTCTTTCCTAGGTCTACCTTTACCGGGCCACCCTACCACATTAAACGGTGAATGTGTCCGAATGACCTTGTACAGAATCTTCAAATTATATGTATAAAAGGTTATATAATAACTAATATAAATTTAATACTCTGTACGTTCACATTGTGTCGGCACTCAATTGATAGATTGTCACGGTCAAGAGCGGCGGCATTGGATATTTACCGGATGATAACATTACAAGTAATTACGTGTAAGTGCGGCCCGATGTTAAATCTGGGGAGCGTACAATGATTTATTTCACACTAACAAATGCCCCTGGATTTGCATGCATTTGTTTCATTGATCGAATGAGAGAATTCTTTTTTTAGTGCACCTTACTTTATGTATGTTACGCATTACAAGTTTCGGTTACATCGTGAACATCTTAGTTTACTTACTAATATTATAAATGAGAAAGTTTTAATGGATGTTTGTTTGTAGATATCTCCAGATCGGTTACATGGATCTCCCTGAAATTTAGCATAGATGTAGAATGTAGCCTGGAAGAATATATAGGCTACTAGCAAAGTTTTTCTTTAATTCTATGCAGAAAGAGTCGCGGGCGACAGCTAGTTGTATAACGGTCATGATTTGAAACAGTGTATATAATTTTTCTATATTCGTAATTGTATTATTAGCGGTCTAATGATTCACATTTGTTACTAAGAATACGTAGAAATACGAGCATGAATCATTTCACTTGTTTATCTTACTTGTTTATGAGGTTAATAAATCGATGTATAAAAACTTAATTTGTAAAACTTATAGGGAATATTAAAACATGTTTCTTGAACGTTTTTATTTAATTTGTCTACAAACAATTGCAGTATAATAATCGAGTTTTAAATGTTAAACCAAGTGACCTGTGTGGTGAGTGACAGTGCTATGTTTCGCAGTACAAGCATAGCTTCGGGTTTTGTTTCAGACCGGTTTGCTTAACGCAATATCTACTGACTACAACGCTGCGATCGACTGGAACAGGAACATACGACTGTAACTTTAGACGCTGCCAAGATAATCATATTGTTATCTCTGTTATACTCTTTATAAAAACTGAAACAAAAATATGTATGCATGTTTAGACAGTGGGAACAGTCGGTCATGACTCATGACTCAGATGTTGTGGTAAGCTAAAGTTAAGTGTAAAAAATCAAGGTCACGCGACGGCCTTTCTTAAACAGTGTACTTCTAGAAATAACTATTATCAAGGTAACTTATATTTAACTTGTATTATGTGGTATTTAATGTTCATTATTCAACATATGTTCATTTATCCGATGTTCTTACGGTGAAGCTAAACAACGTGATGCAACCTGCACATATCTGAGAAGAAATTCGAAGATATGTAGTTGACAGCGCGGTTGACTAAGGCCTAGTCACTCCTAATTTAGGATATGTTCCGAACCCCTCAAAGGACGTATGAGCTGATGATAATTTGTTATTTAAACTAAAGAATTACATATGCATCCTTGAAAATTAAACGTTTATTGCATTTATATATAGATATTAACTTGATCTAGCAATCCGGATAATTGTAAATTTCACAAACAATTCACAGAAAACCCAATTCGTGTGCTCCATACTAATATTATAGTTCTAAATACCAATGAGGTCACTGACTGCATTTTAAATACTTATTCAAAAAGTAGGAATAAAAAACATATCGAACTAGGAAGCGCAATTAAATTAATGACATGATCAATTAAAAGACGTTAAACCTTCGGCTTTAAGATAGAATAACACTGTAATTCGAGACACAACGAATGCAAAAGATAATATAACTAGGTTACGACATTGAATCTGCGGTTGCTTTTTTATAAATACATTCCACATTGTTAAAAGAATAAACTGTGTACCTAATAATTTCACTGCTACACTCAGAGTCTACCTAATGATTTCCTTAGTGTAGAAATATTATTATAAGAAAAACATGCCCTATGGTAGCAATGGTTAAAACAATGCAAAGTTGCGTTAACGCTAGTCAAGATAGTAACCGTAGGTTTCAAATCCAGAAATCTCCGTTTAAAATATATTTTTGATTTCAGAAACAAACGGTAAATTATTACAACAGCATACTTATAAAAGTACTAGCGGACCCGACAGACGTTGTCCTGTCTACACGTCTTTAATTTGAATAAATTAATATGAAGTTAATATTTGATGAAAATTGTGAATCTAAACCATTCCCAGATCCCCTTGAACGCACACAAAAAATTTCATCAAAATCGGTCCAGTCGTTTGAGAGAAGTTCAGTGACATACACACTCACAGAAGAATTATATATATAAAGATATGCTTATGTTAACGTTTATTTGTTAAGTTGTATTTTTCCTGTAAATTTAACAAAAAAAAAAAATTAAAAAATATACCATTCACAGACTAAATTTACTTCAGCTTACGTAGATATTAACTGCGGTTTACATTAGTATTATATCTAATTACGTGCGCATAGTGAAGGTAACAGATTTGATTACTGATAAGAAGACATTTAAATGTAAGTTGTTGGCACAGCTGATTAGCACGGATTTTGTCTTGCTGTAAAACTAAGTCGTAGTGTGAATAGTCACTTACTAAGCTAGCGCGTACCATCTTTCGACCAAATCTCCACTTCACCAGGTGGGATCGTGGTCAAGCGCTAGCTTATAAAACGTAAAAAAAAGAACTGTCTCGCAATATCACAACATAATATTTTTGTACTTTATAATTATAATACAGAAACAAAACATGCAAGATACGCAGTTAATGAAATTAATTTCATAACAACATTGTTTATGCGTAGATATTACGATTTTAAAACTATTACAGAAACTAGCTGTCGCCCGCGACTCCGTCCCCAGAATAAAAAAAAACCTCAATGAGTAGCCTATATGGTCTTCCAGACTATGTTCTATATATTCCGGAAATACCTTCAAATAAACATGCATCCATCTAAACATTCGCATTTATAATATTAGTAAGACATAAACAGCGAAGTTCCTTAACAACGCAATGCTCATTAATTTTGTAGCAATTAAGAAAGCGAACAAACAGCATGGGAACTAACAGCAAGGTTCGATCATTTAGCAGACATTCGGTCAAGTACAGATTGGTTACGTAGTGTTACAAGACCTTGCGACGCAGTCAGACGCAGTGTGTTCCCGCCTCTGTAGCAAAACGCGCGTGTTGATAAATACGCGATTAACCAAAAACATCTTACCTAAAATAAATATAGTGATGTTTATTATTAATCTTTACTAAGGTGTAATTTAAAAGCACATATTTTTAGTGTTTTAGTGGTTTGAAACAAAAGGTAAATATTATCGTGTACAAATAGTGAAATAATTGTGTATTTTCTGATCATAAGCGAAAGCGTTTCTCAAACAGTACGTATCAACGCATGTCGGAATTTAAATTAAACAAATTTAAATGTAATTAATTAATACACACGACTCCCTTTAAATCTACTCAACACATTTTTATTCGTAAGTTATTTTTACAATTATGTTACATTTATATTTTTATCTAAGTCTTAGAATTATCGAGTACAAATAAAAAATAGTAAATACTAAAAAAAATTGCTAGTTTAATCCATTTATAGGAATGTTTACATTTGATGGCTCATCTGTTTAAATTCAAATATATTTGTGAGATGAATAAATAAATTAAAAATAAACACAACACGTAATACAATCAAGAATATACGCTTGTTATTTACTTAACAAGCTTCATAATAATGATATAAAAACTCATATTCAATAACATTATTACATTATAAAGTTACGGATATTTGAAGCTAAAAAAGGGTCTTCACAGACAGACGGACAGACAAAAAGGTGATCCCATAAGGGTTCGGTTTTTTTCCTATGAGGTACGGAACCCTAAAAAGATATAAATTGTATGCATATAAAACCAAACAATAGTAAACATTGTATTTGTTACTAGCTGTCGCCTGCAACTCTGATTGCGCATAAAAATTTAATATTCTGGAGATACCTTCTAACAAACATCCACTAATACATCTTACTATAAAATTATCGCATTTATAATATTAGTAATATGAATAGTACAATATGAAATATTCAAGTATGTAATTAATCAGATGAATCAATTCCAAATCAGTATAATTAGGAAATCGAAAAACCCGTTCATAATATTGCCACAGACTAAAAAAAATTTACGTTGGCGTCATCAACTTAAAGCCATTGCTGCGATATTACAAAAGAAATGACTTAACATCTATTGAAATAATCAAAATTACGCATTTTTAATTTTAAGCAACAGAATACTATCGTAACCACTAACGCACCCCTAAGTTTGCATTCAATTCGATTTTGTAGTCAAAAAAAAAATGATTTTGACAACCCTGATAGGTCGGTCTAAAGTATAACCGGTCTTTTATTTAACAAATATTTACAACATACGCATTTTAGCACTTGTGTAATTGACTGAAGTTATATTTAAAGTACTAAGTAACAGCGCGTGTAAATATAATGTTTGTTTTATGCGAACTACGCCGAACCATGACGCACGATAAGCTACTAATTCTGTTTAACATTGGTTTTCGAGACCTAAATAACTGTATAAACATATCGTCATCCCTCTCATTATCCTTGACAGAAGAGAGATAACAACATGCTTTTATGCATGACCGAGACTATGGTTTCAGAAATCAAAGATTAGTACTTTTAGACAATATTAATTAAGAATCCTTTGACGCGAATGGCGCACTTTCATACAGAGTCAAGTGTTAGAATGATTAGTGAGGGGACATAAACGTCGACATTTTAGTAAGACTAGTGTTGTACCAGTACACCGGTACGTCAGATTTCCTTACTGACAGAACGTAATGTTGATAACGTTAAAAATGAAGACTCGCTATTTGTATTTTACTTGCATAAACAAGAAAAGCCATTGTTGTAAGAGCATACAGAAATAATTACGACGTACATATAACATCGTAGATTCAATCTTTTGACTTCTGGCGTCGAAATCGGCATTAGGTCTAGGTCTAGATGTAGGTTACTTTGGTATAGTTGCCGTTCCAATTGATGATTTAATTTCGCGATGGTCTCTAAACATGTATGTACGACTTAAATAGTCCGGTTTTCTCAGTAACTTCAAGAAGATTTTTTTTTAATAATTAATAGTTATAGTGTTTCTTATAGTAGTATAGCTCATTCTAAATCATTGTTCAATATTAATTTTATGCGTAAAATTAGCCGTACATAAAAAAAACTGCGTAGGGTTAATATAATTCATTAATCAATTTGGTGACCCGAAAACGGTAAGCGTATGATTACAATCAAAACATTAAACGCGCAACAGTTCGCGGCCTAGAAAATTAATTAATTCACGCAACTTGCGTTTCGCTTTATGTAACTTGGCGACTCTTCAACGGTCGTCAGCTTAGCAACTTTAACTCATCGATAAGTACGATTTAAAGTGGGTTTGTGAGACCAAAAACACATTGTTACCTCAGTTTTTCAGATTATGAGAGGATTGAGATTTGTTTTATACAGAGAGTTTGCTGTCGGAACACTGGGCACCATAAATGTATTTGATATTTAGTGCTTGCGTGCATGGTTTCTATAAGCATGTCTTTTATCTAAATACGTCTAACAGTTGGATGTATAATGTTCTTTGTACATTTTACTTAACTGTTTTAAAACGTGAAGAAATAAACACAGCGAAAAATGGTAGAAATCTTAAAAGACAATAATATTATTACAACATTTTTTTGGACGTACGAGTTGTTGTAACTCAACCTCTTTGGATTTCTTGCGGAAATTTTGCACATTTGAAATTTTACAACTGTAATGCTGTAACTTCTTTAAAAACGAAACTGTTACCACAGACTATGAAGAAGCCGTCAGACAGGACATTAAAACCTGTTGGTGGTTTTATTTAAAATATATATTATCTGTACTACGACTTATGTGTAATGCTATTATGTTGCTAAAAATATTTACGAAAATAATGTCGTATGTATCAGTTAATGACTAATTTTGTGGTTTAGTTGACGGCGATGTGTTGGTAGCGTTTTACAAACACGTGTTTGTTTATTCCGTTTTATTTTGCGATTGCGTTGAATGACTCGCATACATCAACAACAGTAATTGCGCCTAAAATTTTGTAGAAAAAAAAAACATCCTATACATCAACTTGAAACTAGTACGAGATAATATTATAAATGCGAATGTTTAGATGGATGGATGTTTGTTTGTATGTATCTCCAGAACGACTGACCGGATCTCGACAAAATTTGGCATAGATATAGAACATAGTCTGGCTTTTACGCGAGGACAGAGTCCCGGGCAACATCTTGTTAATAGAATAAGAGCACATCCTATACATCAACTTGAAACTAGTAAGAGAATTTACATAAAATCGGTTTCAGATTCCACAAACCAGTTAAACGTGTCCATTTTTCGTAAGACGTATAATTTATTCTAATTACATTTCCTCGTTAGCATTTAATATAAAATCAATAATTTACTTTGACGTCGCTATATTCATATGTATTTACCTATTTAATAATTTTTGGCTTATCTTGTTCATACAGGAAACTAACAAAAACAAGAAATTATTTTAAACATATCGAACTAAGACTCGAATAAATTATTACAAGGAAGTTAAAGCTCCATAAGGAAGGAATTTAAAATGTTTGGTACCAGGATTCAGTATTATCTAAATTAAAACTTCCTTGCATGACAATAAACTTACAAATTTAAATTATGACTCAAGCATACGTATATTATTTTATTAGTCAGACTAAATAATATATTGTATACTCTGTTATATCCATAAATAATGACGAATATTTTTTTTTTAGCTAGTGGTCGCATGCGAAAAAGTAGCCTACTCCGAGCCTACCTAAATTACCCGTGACTTAGGGTAGGCTCCGTAGGTAGGGTAGGCCTAACGCTTCAAGCCCCTTAATGGGGACGACGTATCGTGAGCCTATATCGGTCTAGCTGTTCTGGAGATTTATCGAAACAAACGCGGCATTGCGGATAGTCACACACACAGTAATTTGAAAAATTAGTTCGTTATTGGCATCATCATCAACCTGCCATCATCCCTATTGAGGGTCGAAACAGTATGTACTACTCCTCCATACATCTACTCCCTTCCTACGCATTTCCTCTTTCACGCAGTCATTCCTTATTTTTTTTGGTTTTCCTCTACCTAGTTCTAGTTTAGTATTGGTCAGTATTGGTAAATATAAATCTTTATAAATACATCGTATTAAAATGATCATAGTTATCTGATTTTTTGAAAGAAATTTAAAGTTAATAAATATATTTTAACGAGTCGATTCGATTCCGATTCGAACAAAAACCGTATTCTTCATTTGCATAAACACTATAGAATTACAGTTATCACATATAATAAGTGCAAATTGCAACTGGCGCTTTCTTACGAAACATTAGAACTAGCAAAAGTGCTTAGTCACAAGGTTGTGAATGACTCGGACCTTGTTTAATTTTAACGAATAGTTACTAAAAGTCAGACTGCAGCAAGACCATCATTAAGAAATATGATTTTACTAATATTATAAATGCGAATGTTTAGATGGATGGATGTTTGTTTGAACGTATCTCCAAACCATCTGAATCGAAATCTGCTCGATGATATTTAGCATGCATATAGAACATAGTCTGTAAGAACAAATTACCTACTTATTATGTGTTTTTTTTAATTCCACGCGGACGGACTCGGGGGCGTCAGCTAGTATAGAGATAAATATAAGACTAGGATCCTGGACAAGTATTTTTTAGTTGTTTAAACTAGTCAGCGACAATTTAACGTGTTTTATCATTTTCAATTTATGACAGTTTTAATAAAATATAAATTATTTATAATACTTACAAAAGCTGCTCTTGAATATCAATCTTTATCAGAAGATGCGTCATTGTACGTGATTAATATTTAATACGGCTATGTTTAATTAAAAAAAAATACATGTCTTGAATTTCGTATATGGATATGAAATGTAAAGACAAGCTTCCACGGTGTGTGATTCTGCAGACGAAAGTAAACGGTCAGATTTACCACGAGTGGATTATTTTGAGATGAACAATTGGTAATTATGATCATAGCTTGTCGACTTGTGTCTGAAGAATCACACACCGTGAAACCCCACCATTAAGGTGATCGAACAGCCGTGACTTAAAGACCTTGTTATTGCTGAGCTTATCTGGAAATTATCACGCATGAATTAAATACATCTACATTTGGAATGTTGAATTTTGTAAGCAATTTCCTAATAATCGTTATGTAATAATATCTGCTAGTCGAAAAATATGTAATCAATAGAGTTTTCTATAAATATGTATAACTATTATTACTAACTAGCTGTCGCCCGCGACTCCGTTCGCGTGGAAATATAAAAAAACTTAATTAGTGTAGCCTACCCATCTACCCACATCACATCCATCTAAACATTCGCATTTATAATATTAGTAAGTTAAATAAAAGGCAGCGCTTTAAGGCATAAATTCGAAAAACAAAATGAATAAATAGTATCCTATGTCCGTCTCCATGCTCAAAGCTACCTCCTCACCAATTTTCAACTATATCGGTAGTCATTCTTGAGTTATAAATAGTGTAACTGACACGACTTTCTTTTATATATATAAAATAGAAGATTCAATTAATAAAGAAATGATGAAATGAAATGACCCAAAAAGCAATCATATAGAATACATTCCTTGATCAATACGACTATTTATTGTGGTCAATACATACATTTGGAACCGGATTTAGTTAGTGCGCAATGTGAGCGGGCGACATGTGCCATGAGCTACAGCTGTATAGCCTTTACGAAACATTACCCTACTTTGTTACTTCTTACAAGTGAAAATACAAGTTTACATATTATGAATTCTGCTTGAAATATTTAATTATCGCGATGTTTTTAGTGTAGTTTTAATGCACATAATATTAACTATCTTAAAACACGATTTGATCTCTTGATTTAAAATATGCTTCTAAAACATCTAAAACTAATCCATATGTTAAAATTATGTTGTAAAAAAAACTCTGTGTTTACAATGATACAGATAACATATTTTTTTACCGTATTGCGGCAGTGGCAACTCTACTAAATATTACAGCAAAGACAGCAACAAAATAAAGTTTACAGTAGTCCGTTAGTAAAAAAGCAAGAGGATGAGTGATGTGCCTCGGGGTCCAACGTGTCAAAAGACTTTTAGACAAAATGTTTGCATTCATTCTAATATTTAACAGAAGTCTATTCAGTTTAGTATTCAGACGGCTGAGCTCAAATCTTGAAAGTCGACGAGTTTGCGTTGACAATATGAATGCGTAATGTTTGCAAGATTTCATCTTTAGAATATGTTACATCTGTCTTTATTTACAATACTCGCTGTCGCCTGCGGCTTCGTCGGCGCTGGATTAAATAAAATACCTTAGTAGCCTATGTGTTCTTCCAGACTATGTTCTACACCTATGCCAAATTTCAGCGGGATCCGTTCAGCCGTTTTAGAGATATCTTCCAACAAACATCCATCCATGATAATAAGTAACAAGTAAGATAGTAAGATTCAAATAATTAAAAAAAAAGATATACAGTAAAGATGTACAAAGTTAACCAGCCCCATTACTGTTGAGTTCAACAATTAAATCGTTCTTTGTTTTAGAACATATATGTATTTGAAGTGTAAGTTAACAATTTTGAACCACTTTCATAAACACAGATAATGCAAAAACAGACTGATCAACACAAATCAAACAATATCTGCGCCATTAATAATTCCTAACCATGGTAAAACAAATAAGTTTGTGTATACAGTTGACAGGGCACAGATAACGAGCAAGCGGATTTGTACCTTGAAAACAAGAAAACTGTGCCAAATTGCATCGCAATTTATTTAAGCGTATATCGCCATGAGTTACACAATATAGCGAACAATATACAACTGACAGAACTAGATTTGATATGAATAGCATGAAATACTCGCTTGGTCATGACCTAACCTATTTTATACTACTAGAACATATTGTACTCATAGTTCACTATAGCGAGAAAAATAGCAATTGCAAGAATAACAATAATTTTAAAATTGGATCAAAAATTAGTCGTAATAAAATATTAGCGCGATCACTTTTAAGTTACGTCAAGTATTCAAGCAACGTAGTGTTTGACGTGGGTTTTGAGACCAAAATCCCCGATTAAGATATCTCTTTTCTGTCAAAGTTAATGACAGAGATGACGATATGTTATATAGAGATTTAGGTCTCAGACACCTATGGTAAATATGTATTAGATAGATTAAAATTATCATGTATTAACTTTACAGAAAATTCGAAGTATCTACAGAGTGACCAGGGCTATCACGAAACCCGTCCTCATCTGGGCCGAAAAATAAAACGACGAAAGGAAACAATTGAAGCACAACCCTGGCTCCGAAAAGATGACAATGGGAACTTGGGCTATAACGACAACGGTCACAGTATTATCATTGGTTATCACAGGTACAAATTGTATTGCACAGAAATTTACACTATAACGCATCTATCCGTGGGTTTCCGAGAGAAAAAGCCCGTTTAAAATAAATTATTTCTGTTCTATCTTAGATAATGACAGGGATGACGATATGTTTTATACAAAGATTTTGGTCTCAGAAAGCCACGGTAAATGATTTTGTTAAAAGCATTATAAAATAAAACATACAAATATTATATCAAACTGTCCGTAATTTTTTAGCTATGTAATAAATACGTATCCCCAAATATTTTTCCAGAAGTGAAGATCCCCAAGTGAAGATAATTTGCTTTTAGATGGACTTTAAGTGGATGTCTGCCTTTTTTTGTACTGTCAGCTGCATAGATATGTACACATTTACAGAACTTCAGAGAAGTTTCTAAAGTATTGAAAATGTTAATATATTTATGCAGCTGACTGTACCGTACCTACTTCGGAGAGCTATGTAGCTTTTGCAAAAGACAAATCTCTAATTGCCTAGAAATTTCCAACTTCAAATCCTTCCAATCATATAATATTACCAAGCATTTGTAATACTCTTAAAGTCTGCAACATTAGTAAATGTCTTACCCTGTGTATACAATAGCTTCATAATTTTATGTTTATGTTTTTTGCGTAAGAGAATTAGCTATTCACTAATTCAAACTTATAAAACAATTCTTCGTAATGGAAAAGAAATGCGGATATATGAAAGGCGTGTACTTCCTCATGATAACGATTACATCCCAGAATACGTAAAAAAGTTGATTAGTAATTACACGAATAACGAACGATACATTGCATTAATGCATTACGAAAAAATATCGTAGCATCCGCTTACTTTTCCACCTAATTATCATTTCTTCTTTGTACATTGTATGAATACTGATATTAACACGTTAAACGCCATAGTAGAAATAGATAAATTCACTTATAAAACTTTTTGCTGGAAATAGATGCGAAATGTTGAATCTTCAAAATATATCGTTCAATCAGAAGCTGGGTTCCGCGGATATTGTAAAAAAAAAACTTCATGAGGCCATACGCGGTGTTTCAATGTAGGCAGGGATCCGGTCACCGGTGACCGAAGTGGCGTTTAAAGTTTTAATCAGTGGAGTCCCAGTACCAATTTGTACCAAAAGAGTATCGTAGTTAGGTTCTATGTACGCATGTACTCGTACGTTTATTACTTATCATCAGCTCATTACACTTCCCCACTTAGAGGCTCGAAGCCAACCCTAAATTAGGGGTTAACTTCTCACATATCTTTTGAATATTTTCGCAGATATGGACAGGTTGCATCACGATGTTTTTATTTAAAGTCGGATACATGTGTGGAAATCCACAATCCGAAAAACGTATCGGTACATGGCGGGATTCGAACCCAGGACATGCATATTACAAGTCAACTGCTTAACCCTTGAACCATTGCCCTTCCTATACTTCTGTTCGGTTTGAAATTGAAGTTTGCCTCTTTAATCTGGTTAGTTACCATCAAACACGTTTGAACCAAATATAAAAACTCGTATTGCGATTTATTACAAAATATAGTTGTAAATATATCTGGACTTTGGTTTAGTTCAGGATTATACATAATAAACATTTGTAAATAATAAACAGCGTAAATTACTTGCGTATTTAACGACCGATGAAATACTTTTACATTATAATTATGTACAAAGTTGCTTAACGTTTGAATACATAATCATTACCTAAGGTCTGTACAATGTTAACTATATTCACATAAAATAATTCGGTAGGAATTATAGAATAAAGTTACATAATTAATTTATAGAATTTAATCTATAAAATACTAATATTATAAAGCGAAAGAGATTGTTTAAACGCGCTAATTCCAGAGGGAACTACTGGTCCGGTTTAAAGAATTCATTCATTTTTTGTTGGATAGTCCATTTATAGAGGAAGGCTTTAGGCTATATAACATTACGCAATAGGACCGAAGCGTCAGTAGCAAATGTTGCAAAACGGGGAAAATTATTCACATTTGAGGACTTTTGTTGCGTGCGCTGCATAAATGAGTTAAGTTACTCAAAAATATGTATAAAAGAATTATTCCTTTTTAATATGTCTATAGCAAATATAATAGGTTATATAATGTTTGGATGAATGCATGGATAGATGGACATTTGAAGGTATCTCTAGAACGACTTAACGGGTCTCGACCAAATTTGGCATACATTTAGAATAGTCTGGAAGAACACATAGGCTATTATTTTTTTAATACCGCGCTGACGGAGTAGCAGGCAACCACTAGAAGTTGATAAGTATAATATATAACTCTTATTTCATAACATTTCTGAATAAGATTGTCTTTTAGTAATTGAATTAAGATACTCCATAGCATATTATTTTCATTTAACACATAATTCGATCAACTATGATATTTATAAAAAGAAATCCAATAGATTCAAAAATGCAATTTTCTCAAGTTCATTACTACACATGCGTTCTCTGCTATATTATAAATGCAAACTATAATTAAATATGTCGTACTGTAATTATGCTATCATGACTCAGTCATGGATAGTGAACGATGAGTCAAGTCATAAAATCGTGTGCAGATCGAGACTTATACTATTATACTATAAAAGATTGTTAGAAGTAAAAATAATTTATCAAAACACATTTGTAATTACAATGAACGAATATGCAAATAAAGTAGTCACCTAATCGACCCTAACAAGTAATTAAATATTTAACAAATAAAACAATTAAACAAAGCAATTGAAACATTTATTAATGAACAGATTGCTAAAATGCGTATGCTAAGATGGATGTGTTATGACAAGAAAGGATAAAGTTAAAAATGTGTATATTAGAGGAAGTTTAAAAGTAGCGCCAGTGATCGAGAAATTGAGGAGTAAAAGATTAGCGTGGTTTGGACATGTTATGCGGAGGGATGATGATGATGTGAGCAAATAAGTAATGAGATTGAATGTGGATGGCTACAAAGGTAAAGGAAGACCAAAAAAAGTATGGAATGACTGTGTAAAAGAGGATATGCGTAGGAAAGGGGTAGATTCGGATATGACGGTTGATACAAATGTAAGGATGAGTAGTACATACTGTGCGGACCCTCAATAGGGATAAGGGCAAGTTGATGACTAATGAACAGTTTGTCTTACAGCTCCACTAAACAAATCGTATAGAATCAAAGAGAACAATGTAATAGGTGCTATAATAGCCACCAGTCTGTATCCAGGTGTTGGATCTCCGAAATGATAGCACAAGGCTGGGTATCTTCTACCTCTTTCTACACACAGAGAGGCAGGTTCACCTTTCACGTAAACTGGTTCCTCTGTATCACATCTAGCTTCACTCTCTTCGAAAAAAGTAAATTGTGTCACCACACGGGCGACCATACCTTTCGTTCCATTCTGTAACTTATCTAAAAGACGAGAAACCCAACCTTCTTGGTATATATTGCTTAGAGAATGAACCCCCCAGTGAGATGCAGTTTTCTGTACTGAATTTATTTCTGCCAGTAACCTTTCATCGAAAACATGTACTTTAGAATCATAATTAGTATTTGTTTCATTGATTTCATCTAAATGAATTCCTATAGACGATAAGAAAGTTAAATTTGTAAAATCGACCGTAGCATCTAGGGCACTGGTGATATCTCTATGGGGTAGAAGTCCACAGAAAAATTTACGTTTCAAAAAGTAAGGTGCGCCTGGTGAAAAATTACAGACTACTCTTACATCACCGTTTCTACTTACGCCAAATGCACATCCTATTTTATGTGAGTTAGCCCAAATCAACTGGACAGTGTTAAAAGTTGTCGGTTCTATATGGCCACATTGAATATCAGTATCGCTAAGGTTTTCCCCAGCGTTCCAATACCATGCATGTATGCAGCCAACAACGGCCAGTACAAAGCATTCAGGTGATGGTGTGCTATAACATTAACCACAATTTTAATCACAAAACAAATACAACGAACAATAAAGTGATATATAAACACGGCTAAACACTCACGTATATTGGTCCGGTGGCGGCACCCACTAGTTTCGAGCCCATCGGGGGCCCTTCTTCAGGTTGAGTGGTACTGGTATTATTTCGCGGACGCGGCCCGTCGCTCACACACCGATGGGCGACGAATATACGTGAGTGTTTAGCCGTGTTTATATATCAGTTTAGTATAATGTCTCACGAAAGATTTAATAATTTAACAACGAACAATACTTATTATATTTAAAACTATTTACCAGTTGGTATCCGTATTATAGGAATTCAAGCAACATTTCTGCATGTACTTCATACATTCGAGTTCAGATACGTAGTTGCCTTCGAGTGCGGAACAAGGTGCTGGCCCGGGTAAGCACTGACTGAGCCACGCTTGTGCCATTTTCTCCAAATCAAAATCATATGTTATTTGCATCATATTAGCCGCTTGTGGTAAATGAGAATATCTAATCGACTCCCCAGCAGCTATACGATTTCTCATAGAATTAACCGTGTTTACAAGCGCTATTTGTTCTGATATAGTAGGAGTCTTCACAGTATATCCTTTTTCACAAAATATTGATATAGTTTTATCAGGGAATAGACAAAGTGTATGATCTCCATAACAAGGTTCGATTCCGCACCACTTGTTAAACATTTGCGTACCAAGAGTGTATCCATTTTTTCTGGATTCTTTCTTTATTTTATTTTGGCGTAAAACATTTTTTAGATATCCACGACGGATTGAGAACACCTCTGATATTTTCTCTTTACGTCCTAATTCGCCATACAAAACTGGTAGTTCCCAACATGGGATATCCTGTGGGACGTACCATACACTTCCATTCTCCTGAGTATATTTATCATCTTCTATGTGGACATACGCAGCAGCCGGTTCTAAAGTATAATAATCTAATAGCTTTAGTTTTACTAAATTTGATTTATTTTTCTTCATTTTTCTTGTATCATTTGTACTATAGTAGATTCTTGGATTTTCTTTCTGCCCAGACAGCGGAACTTCTTTTTCTTTAGGCATAAATTCTCCATATCTCGTTTGATATCTTTCATCATCATAAATGTACTCATATTCATTGAAAATATCTAATATTGGTTTCGACGAAAAATTATTCTCATTCATGAAATGTGAATTAGAATTTATTGAATGAAGAAAACTTACATTAGCCTTTTGAGTTATAGTTTCTGTTGTCGTTTTAGTAACATAGTAAAAAAAATTAACTTGTTCATTTCTTTCCTCATCGATGTCACTTTCAATGGATTTATTGTATGTTTCATATATTGAATAGTTCGCTTCATTAGTCAAATTATTACTTTTTTTTGTATCATCGTAGTAATCGATACCTATACCAAGACTAGTTGAAAGTAACATGTACATAATATATAAGAAAATAATGATTACTTTCTGCATATTAAACATTCTATACATAAACGTCGTCGCCAACTAGATCTATCATTTTATTTTTTCAACTTTATACCAAAGTCATTTGTAAAAAGTTTTTTATTACATATGCTTTTTTTTTAATTTTATACTGCATTAAAAATGCCACAGATATATCGGACAATGCGCCAAGCAAGACATGGATTCAAGACCGTTCACCGTCTCGTGTGTCAGAGGTTTGTGGGTGCAAAGAACACGCATCATGACTCACAACAATTTTTTTTTATACAATACAATGACCTGAGCTACAACAAAACTTTAGTCTGTCGATATGTATTTTTTGGATATTTTAAGTTTGGTTATATAAGGCAACAATTATATGTACAACCATAATAAAAGATTTAAAATAATGCTTTGTTCCCACGACTGTTGTTATTAGTACGTTTTTTTTATATCATAAGGTGGCAAACGAGCAAGCGGCCACCTGTAATCGCTGAAATAGCGAAGTAACCGTTGCCCATGGATATACGCAATTGCATATGCGTTGCCTAAATTTAATCGACGGAAGACAGGATGCACAGAAAGAAAAAATAATTTGCCTTTCCATGCATCCTCTCATCCGGAAAGTCCACTTCCACTTCCCATCCTTTTCTTATAAGAAAAAGTGTGGGAAGGAAAAGAAGACTAAATTAGGCCTCCGGGACGCACAATTATCAGACGAAACGGTTCTATGTGGTCGTGGTATTTCACCGGGCGAGCCGGGCCAATTCATGTGAAGATGTTAAAGCGGGCTTTAGCACTGTCGTTCTAAAATTAATTTTGTGTTACATTTGCCAAATTTCGCTACAGCTCAGATTTTTCGTTAATTCCAAGTTACCATGTCCGCAACCGCGTCTTTAGAAACCCCGTCCTCAAAAGCATTACTCTATTGATGAAAGCTAAAATTCATAGATTTTTCCAACCTATATATTGTGTTAAATTTCAGGTGTATCTCCTTTAGAATGCTACAAATGTCTCATCAACCCGCCACTGGGAGAAAATTACAAAACAGCGACTAATTTATGCACCAACTTCGACTATTCCGATTCGTTTGTAGTGGACTGTCCGTTTTCAACAATGTGCATGAAGCAAGATTTTCATCTCGACATACAAAACGGAGGTAAGAAGCTTTTGATATAAATCGAAATATACGTATTTGATACATCTCTAAAACTATAGTTGAATTAGAATTAAAAAGCTTGAAGATGAAATCCTAGATTATTTTATAATCTCCTTAACCTGGTCTATATGGAGTCATACAACTGGATTTTGTTTATCGTAATTGTCTTTAAAAAAAAATTGAATGGATTTAAAGATTTCTATATGTGAAAATAGGACGTACTCGCAACTTATTTTCTTCTTCGTCGCCGCAGTCTTTTCAGACTGTTCGCGGTCATCACGTATCTGTTACCCTTTATATCACAACTTATAAACAAGTATTAATCATTATTTAAAATTCATTTTCAGTGAGAATAGAAGGAGTACTGAGGGATTGTGCACCACAGAAGCACGAATATCAAGACTTCAAAAACGGGAAATGGTCGCCAAAGACGGAAGTATTGGAGCCATACAACGAGGGATGCTTCAGTGGAGACGACAAGGGAGAAAGAGTAACGACTAGCAGGTAACATGAATCATTGATTATATCTAACCTAGTCATTTAATGTAGTCTTAAAACTGTGACACACGCTTTTATTACATTTGTCTCATAAAATTTGTATTATTAAGTTAATATTGTAGAATCATAATATTGTTTTTCCTTAAATCATGTAAAATATCATCTATTTGGTGTAAATAAGCGAAGCCAACGACTCTGCTTATAAAAAACACGAAGCGTACAATACCATGATCAAAAACAAACAAAAAATTAGATAGCCTTCATTTTGTTACACAAGCTATAATAATAAATCGTAATCGAATGTACAGATTAAAATGTTTCAGTTAAAAATCGAAGAAAGAATCATCAACAGATTTCCAACATATTTTAACATTAATCATTGTATATTTCAGATATTGTTACTGCCGGAGTAACCTGTGCAATTCAACGCCGAGTACGAACCATGAAGGTTACACTGACATCATGGGTGTCATCCTAGTCTTCAATCTAATGAAGTACATAAACAGTCTTAGGTAGTAAATGGTGTTAGTATGTAAAAATATTTAGTCAGTTCGTGGTGAATATGTGATATTATATTAATTAGTATGTAAGGTTGTATGTTAAAATATTATAGAAAATTATAAGCATATTTTTTTTATTTTAAACTAGCAATCGCCCGCCGTCCGCGTGGAATTAAAAAAAAATCTTAGTTGCTTATGTGTTCGAGACTATGCTACATCTATGCCAAAATTTCACTGAGATCCGTTAAGCCGATCTGGAGATTTAACAGTGGTAGAGCCCACTTTAACATCTTCGCACGAATAGGCCCGGCTCGCCCGGTGAAATACCACGACCACACAGAAGACAGGCAGTCTGATGAGTGTGCGTCCCGGAGGCCTAATTTAGTCCTCTTTCCCTTCCCACCCTTTTTCTTATAAGAAAAGGATGGGAAGTGGAAGTTTACTTTCCGAGTGAGAGGATGCATGGAAAGGGAAAATATTTTCTTTCTGTGCATCCTCTCTTCCGTCGATTAAAGGTAGGCAACGCATATGCAATTACGTATGTCTATGGGCACCGGTCACTTCGCTATTTCAGCGATTTCAGGTGGCCGCTCGCTTGTTTGCCACCTTTTGGTATAAAAAAAGATACCTTCTTAGAAACATCAATTCATCTAAACATTCGCATTTATAATCTTTATATATATCATTCTTCTGTGCGTGTGTATGTCACTGAACTTCTCTCAAACGAATGGACCGTTTTTGATGAAATTTTTTGTGTGTTCAAGGGGATCTGGGAATGGTTTAGATTCACAATTTTGTCTGCTGGACAATGTTTTTTTAACTAATTTTTAATTTATTAGTAGTTGTTGATTTTGGAATGTTTTACATTGGATCCGACAGACGGCGCTACCATCGCAGTGTCAAATTTTAAATAATATTCGAATTAAAGACGTGTAGACAGGACAACGTCTGTCGGGTCCGCTAGTATAATATAATATTACATATATAGTAAGAAGCAATATGACAAACAGCTGTTCAGTAGTATACCAACGCATAGGTTATAAACTTACAATTCTTGATCTTTATTAAAAAAAAATTTGGTACAAAATTTTTATATTATTTTTTGTAACGAACAGAATTTGAGAAAGTTTTTGAGATATTTTAACACGAGCCTACCCCGATTACGTACACATTCACGGCGGTCACGGCAAACTGCTTATTATGAATATGACCTCAAATAGAGAATCGAATCTTTAATGAGAATGTCGAAATTTTACGTTCAATGTTAACATTCGATGTGGCAAGCTATGTAAAAAATATTTCGTTGATTAAAAAATATCAAATACTAGTTATCGCCCATGACTTCGTACGATCCGCATTAAAAAAAAACTTAATTAGCTTATGTGTTTTTCCTAATTTCTTTATCTGTGCCAAATTTCAGCGAAACCCATTGCAGCCGTTCCGGAGATACCTTTTAACAAATATCCATCCATGCATCGAAATTTCCGCATTTGTAATATCATTAAGATATCCTTCGAGTTTATATCGGGCCGAATGGAGGTCGATCTCTGCTTACCCCTTTGGACTACGAACGAGATTTATTTTGTTGTTGCTTACGGCCAGTTTATAGTGTCTAATGGAGTGATTTGTTATGGTGGTACTACAGGGGTCCACGGAAGATCCCAAGGAATTGAACGATGGAGGAAAAAGTTAAGGATTCAAAAGTTAAAGAAGAAATGTAATAGCAAAGGTTCACCGAAACTAGACAAAATTTAAACGGTGGTTTACGAGAACAAAGTTTAGGAACCTCTTTATTACCTTTAACCCGAACAATTCAGGAAGATGCATAGATCTGCCTTGTCATATTCGTCGTCTGTATTTTACGGCAGTTGTTTACTCACTAATTCCAAGTTATCACTTGTTTATTACAAATAATTATGCATTTTCCGCATACAATTAGTACTACTATTTGCATTTCAACTGAAATTATAATATTGAAGTAAGTTTTAATTAAATTTTAGTACTTGAACAAAATTTCAAACAAAAAATAGTAAGCAGATATATGAAATTTTCTATCAAGAAATATATGATGTATATGATCCCCTCCAGCATTCCACAAAAGGTTCATAATCTATCCATTTCTATAAGTAAATGAATAACGTAACTTCGTAAAACAATTTGTGTCTAGGAATGTTAATAAAATATATTAAGTCGCCTGAAGACCCCATATATCAGTCTAGACGGGTGCGCCCCTAACAAATTGTTATTCGTCACGCAATGCTCTAGTGTATTTGAAAAGATCAATAAGGTAAACTAAATTTAAGTTAAGCAGATAACTGGTTGCCACAATAAATTGAGAAAAAGTGCTTCTGAATATTTTTGCAAAAGTGTGGCGCCTACTTATTTTATTACTGCAATTTTTACAGAACGAACTTTAAGCATTCACATTATTACTTTTTACACTATCTTTCCATTCGACATAAAATTAGTTAAAGTTATTTATTAAATACACTTTAAAACTGTTTGTTAATAATCTCAAAGGCATGGTGGCATCTACATGTTTTAAGAATAGTAGTAGTTAAAAAGCATTTTCAATTTGTACAACAGGTGATTATTTCGACAAATATTGTTCTTATATGAAAGACCTTAAGAGAGGATTTGCATTTGGAATGTATTAAGTAAAAAATCGAAGTATAAATATTACAGGAATATACGTTACTGCATATTTCTGTTATAAAACCAATGACTCAGGAAAAAAAACAATGTCTTTGTCCTCATACATTTTTTTATCACAGGTCACAGAACTGAACTGATATGATTCATCAATAATACATGCACGACTTAATTGTCATTATACCATATTATATATAATAGAAAACATATTTTTAATTATTTAATCAATATGTATATAATCTATGTCTACGTCCAATTACGTCAACTCTATATTGCTTTATCTTTCGAAGTTTTAATAAATATATTATCTATAAAATTAGGTAAAGTTGTAATTAATTATTTTCTGATTAGTTTTTAAGGAAAATTGTGCAATACATTTGTTAAAATAAAGAATAAAAAATGCCAGGGGAGAGCGAAAAGGCGACATAACAACGCCAAAAAAAGAGAAAAAACAATGGTTAGGTCTTCTGGAAATAGGTATATTATAAAATATTTATTCGGGAAAAAATTGGCACAGGTTGTTTTGACCAAATAGCCAGAAATTTTATTATTTTTCCTTCTATTAATCTCATTCGACATATTCGCATAGTAAACATCACTTTCCTGTAAAGACGGAAACGCTTCACAGGATGTTAGCTATAAGTTGTGATTAATGGAATATTACAAATTAATTAAAATTCCACAATTCTCATTAAAATTAACACTGATAATTGTGAATCATAAAATACTAAAATTAACTGCTAATTAATTGACTTAACGTTCGTGACAAATTCTGTATTATTATTTTCAGGTGAAAAAAAAACTTCCCCGTCATTTATTCTAATCGGGGTAGACAGTGATCGAAAAGATGACTCACTGAATGTAGAGTTCAATGAACAATGATTTTTAATATTAAAATGATAAAACCGATTAAAATATTTTTGTATTTTAACACGTTAAGTGCTACATATTTTCCATTACACAAAAATTGAAGCAGCATCCAATGCGTTAATAGCAGAAAAGTTGATTTAATACCGTTACTAATTAATTTGGAAACGATTATCAGGCGGTAAAGGTACTGTTAATAAGCTTAAAACAATTAGTTTTATAACTAAGCATCAATTTAATAGTACCACCCTGTATTTGAACAGTTAACAAATTACCGTTGTCTGAAACTTTTTATAGACACAAGCTTATAATGGAACACGGCTAATAGCTTCAAGTGTTATTTTATAATTTTGAATCGTCTAATTTATTTAGGCTGCTTATTATATTCGCGGCTTAGGTTTAAAAATAGTCTTTACACGTTTGTACAATCATATAAACAAGTGTTAGCGTACAAATCCTTAAGACATTACTGTGTCACTTGCGTTTTCTTATGTCTCTATTTTATCAAAGAGAATGAAAGGGATGACAATATTATTAGAAGTGGTACGGCAATTGAAACCCACTGTTATAGTGAAAGAATGAATCACGCACACATGTTGATATGGAACAAAAGTGATATAAAAATTATTGCCAGATCGTATCGCACTTTTGTCGGTAGGATGTGGCATGTCGATATCACGTGCACTATTAATATTCTACGATTTAAGGATTTCTTAGTTTTTTATTTTTCACCATAGTATAGTGTAAAATTTTGAATGAATACATTCTTTCGGCATTAAAACAAATATATTGGCAATTTTAGTACAAGACGTAAAGTAATCTAGTGAGTTATTCGTAAAGTAAAATATTTACATTAGCTAAGAGCAGACATCATCTGCTCGTTACAATAACAAACGATATGCAAAAAAAAACTTTAAAATACGTAATACAATTTAGTTATTAATAATTGAAGATTGCTTTGAATCAAGTAAATTTTACGAAACATGCAAAATGGGTGAACTGCGAACTTTTTGGCTGAACACGAACGATGGTTTGTTAACGTGGCAAACAAAAATTACATATCTTATTAATATCACAACCTTACTAAATCTTACTTAAATTATAAATGCGAATGTTTGGCTGGATAGATGGTCGTTTGTTTGAAGATATCTCTAGAACGGTAGCATGTAATTCGCTGAAATTTGGCATAGATGTAAAACTTAGCCCTCGACATAGGCTTAGCCCTAGACTATGTCGAGGGACAACCTGACATGCATCTGGATGCTGTCAATAATATTAAGATTATTAGAAAATAAGTTTGTGAATGTCGTAATATTGTATTTATTGTCAGTGAATAAAGGCTTTATCTATCTAAAAATTAGCCTTTTATAATTTCTCGCGAACGGAGTCACGGGCGACAACTAATCGCATTAAATAAGGAGATTATAATGCAAACATATGCGAAAGACACCAAATAATCTGTTTTATCAATCGAAATCTTTCTTCGATAAACATGGATAGATTGAATAACAGCCATGCTTCGTTGAGCAATTGCACAATTATTCCATCGTCCGTGTAACCTCAATACAAATAAAATCGTGATCGGAAAGTAAAATAGTCAT